AACTTACTTGCTCCAACAATTATTACACACCATGATTTTTAATAGTGCTTCTAAAATTCAGTGATAATAAAATTGATTGTTCTCCCTTGCTTCCTTTGTAGATGCAATCGCGACGTCAATGCTCCCGTCTATTGGCGGCACACTTTTTGCATTAGGTAATAAATTCGCTTTGAATGCCTCATCTCATGTACGATTCAGAACAATACTGTTACATTGCACGTGTAATGATCTTTGATCCCACGATTCAGACATAGTATATAAAGTGCAATGCGTGTAAGACCTGCAATGAAACCTTTATCTATATTTGATTCATTTCCATCCCCAGCATAACTTTTAAGAATGGGGAAATATGTATCATCAGCTACAATAGACTTTTAGACATATTTATTTAAAATGTTGTGGTTACTTCTTACATACATAATTACCCTACGCTAAATCAAAGAATATTTTACAAACAATTGAAATTTTATAAACTATCAAATATGAATTCGCATACTGGCGTGATATTAAACAGAGACTTTCATATGCAGCTGTTATTTATTTTTTAATTTTTATTTAACTAAAGTTTTCAATATCTACTTGAGATCAAGTCGTTCATAATACAAATTTGTAATTTAAATATATTTATTATTTATTTATGTTAGATTTTACTATTTTATACTTGTTTATCTATGGTTATTACATGTTTGTAACATTTTTAAAGTAATTTACATATTAAAACATTATTTTTATTTAAAAATTTTCACTACCTTACACAACTTTTACACAAGGGGAACTTTAATTTTTAGTGAAGGTAGTAACATTTTCACGTGAATGATATTCGAGCTTAAACTTATATTTATTTATCATTATTTCATCAATTATTGTACTTCGAATCAATTGTTCCGCAGCCGGTACGGGCGACTTGATCTCAACCTAAAACGAAGCTTAGATAGAGGTTGGAGTGCGGTACTTGGTAACGGTTTGGTACGGGATATAGAAACATTAGAAAATACTCGGTATAAATAATATCTGTAGATAATCTCGAGCCAAATAAGAGATTCTTGACATCTTATGATATCTGAATTGGTAAATATTTAGTACTAGCAGGCCCAATGCCATTTTCAGATAAACCATGTTATACGACTCGACTTTTTGCCAAAAAGATCAAGGTTTTTCTCAGAATTGGTCCATTACTTGACCTTTATTTGATTCGGGACAGCTACAAACCTATTCGATGGTATAAATAATTTTCATTTTAAATGAAGTTTATCAAATCAGTCTGTCTTTATTTCCCTTATTGCCCTTCCCCCTACCATATTCCTTACTCTTAGCACATTTTTCATACAAGAGCAAAAAAACAGGTATTACAATAGTAACTATGTATGTATTCTCGTGCACAAAGTTCTCAGCGCGTACCTAAATAATTTGATTGATTCAGTCCATTGAAAGTGTAATCAGATTTCGCGCGGGGCACGCAAAGGCGGTGTTTATTAAATGAACTAAACTAACAATGGCTCTATTACCATCCACTGCGGACCAAAACTCGTGCCAACTACCAAAGTATGCAGGGGGAAAAAACTTTGAGGTCATTGTTGTTTGACTCTTCGAAATACACTTGTATCAAATATTCAAAAAATTATAACTTAAAATTTCAGAACAGTTTGATTGTTGAAGTGTGAATTCTCACCAATAAAGGGATGCCCATTAATCACGTGAGATTTTACGGGGAGGGGGAGTTTGACAAAAAATCACGAAATATCACTTGTGGGAAGGAGGGGTATAGTAAGATATAACGTGTATTTATTTTTAACTGCTTTTTTTTAATTCAAACATTTTCAAAAAAATAAAAAAAAATACAGTTTTATCACGTAACTAAAAATACTCGTGATGTTTGGTGGAGGAGGGGGTAATTTTGAATATCACCATGTATCACCAAGACGGAGGGGGGTCCAAAAATCCTTAAAAACTCGCTCTAATGTATTTAAAACAAGATTGTAATAATTAAAGATTCTCAAATCTACTTCTAGGAAATAATAAATTATAATACCAAAGACATAATATTCGAGATTGCTTGGAGAATACCTAATATGCTAAAATATTTGTAATTAAATATAATAGGATACAAAGAGTATGTAAATAAGAGAAGTTTAAAATGAATAAAGTATAAGTTAAGTAAAAAGTAAAAATAAAATCATGTAGAACATTAAATAGAAAAAGGATATATTAAATATAAATATATTAAACCATTTATAATTAAATTTTACTTCTAACATTGAACAGTATTTCAATAGTTACGTATGAAGTAACTAACCCCTGTATCAAATAATTCCAAACGTGTATCGAGTTGAAAAGATAAAGCAACACACGCGCCGACAATGAAAACAATTTATCTTTTCAATAGTCGAAACCTAATTGGATGTGAAATTTACCTTTTGGTGAATTGAAAAGGCTTATATTTTGTGAAAAATAAAAATTAATACTAAAAGTCACCCCATATACTTCAATCATTTTCGATCTAAACGCTGCTACCCCCAAAGCCTCAACTAAAACATTATTTGCCACATATAATTGTTTCTGGAAGTATAATAAATTACTAGATGTATGTGACATTTTGTTTTAAGGTAATCGTCTCGCAAAAGTAATAAACGTTAGTCCTCAGTTTCATAGATAAAATAGGCTGGATGGATTTAAATTTATTAACGGAAAGTCAAATTTTGGCTACCATATACACATACACATCTATAATCCAAATTTGGTGTCAAATAATTCCGAAAGACTTGAAATGTCGAGAAAACCAACTTCCTTCGAGAAATGAATTATAAACCAAAAATACGAACGATAGCTTATTTAAACCGGAATTTGCATCTTATACCTTATCCCATTATTTTTATTCAAAAATAAAATTAATATAGCAATAAATAATAATAATTTGTATAAAGAAATATTTAAATCAGTTAAATTTAAAACATTTACTTATATTTTATTTACATCTAAGAAATACGTATCTGCCCCATCTCTGAATTGTATTTTATATAACACGAAACCCCAAAAGAGAGTGGCGGTGGATCATCCAATGAGAAAGTACGCTGTACAATTGAGGCTTAAAGTGGGGCCTGATCGATATATATATATATATATATATATATATACATATATATATATATATGCGGATGTATAATACGAAGATTATTACTGCAATTAAGGAAGCGTTTCATGCGTTCCAAAAGGTCACGCTGCTCAAAACTAGGAATGAGGTCTGAGTTGAATCGTGACATGAAATTTAAGGGCAGTGTATTATAGAGATGTAAATTATTTCTTAAGTTAGCTATCATCGACTGTTTATTAAAAGGCAAACTGTCATATATTGTTTCGAAATATATTTAACAATATGATTCTACAAAATAGGCTTTTGCGATCGTTTCATGCACAAATATATGTACATTTATTTATTAATTTTATTATCAAACAAAGCTAAATGTAAAATTTTGACCAGTGACTGAAGCATATTTACTGTCTAAAATAAATTATTCGATTTTAAAATCACCTAAAATAATTAAAATTTTAAATCACCTTTATAAACTGTATTGAACCATATATTAATTGGACGTTTACACAGAATTTGCTTCACGAATAACGTTTATCATTTTTTATCTTGTATTTAATTTATTTGTGTATAATTTTTGTATTTAATTTGCTTGTATTTATTATCAAATTATTGTAATATATTATAACGTCTTTAATAAAGTTTTGATTGACAAAAAAAAATATTATAACGTACGCTAAAGAACCATAATTTTGTGTATAGTGATAAACAAAAGTACATAAAATTTATAAAAGTTAACTAAAGTGTTAATGGAAAGTTATATTAAACGAACCATGTGATATTTTTAATTAGTGCCTTTAAGATATTAGGTAAGATAATAATTTATATTTTACATATATTATAATATTAATCCGATATCAAATCACAAAATATTTTAGTACATCATATATTACTTTTTAAATTCATAATCTGCCAATTATTACGAGATTCATATAAATAATGGCTTCCATATTGAAATTTTAAAAAGATTCTACTCTTTATTCAACTCGTGATCTAAGTAAGTACACGAACACAAAATACGAAAATTGGAGTAATGTTCATATTTTATATTTCTAAGAATAGACGGTGAATCTTAAAAAAAGAATAACAATCATACTAAAATTGGAAACCCTAGAAATGTCGCATAAATGTCAACTTTTAAGACCATTATCCTTCGTGATGTGTATTTATGGTGTAACAGGACAATTTACTTCGTATTACTGAGCTCACTGATACAAATACTCTTTCCGGCATTAACTGAACTGGGATGGAAATATAGGTAATTATTCTGCAATTTCCTCGATATTTTGTTATATTATTATATGTATTTTCAAAAAATATCAAGATATTCTTAATTCTTGGAGAATGAATAAAAAGTAGATAAATTTAGGAAATATACAATTTGACGAACAAGGGCGGTAGATTATACCGCAACTATTCCATTTTTAAATGCATATAAAGAAAATCCGCATTCATAAGTCATCATTATTTTTATTAATATAATAAAAGCTGAATAAATAATATAAAGCAATCACTTGACATCTTATGTAATAACACGCGCTTAAATATCATTTCGCTGTAGAAATGATCAGATATAACAAATAAAATAACATAACATCAATAATAAGCTTATACAACTATAAACGGACTATCGTAGATTAGTTTTAGATATAATAACAATTATGCTTAAAAGCATTTATTCATTGCATTTGTCTAAGCCTAAATATATTATGCTCTCGCTCTTCAAAACATACAGCATTTGAATAAACTTTTTTTCCTCAAATAAATATGTTCATATAAATATATACATACAAAGATATATCCAAATTAATAAAGAATAAAAAACGTTATGAATATTAAAGTGTTATTGTCACCAACGTTAATTAGTTATATCTTATTAATATGTAAAATAAATTTATTCAGATTTTCTAGGTCCGTACTATGAAATTTGATGAAAGATAATTGTATAAATAGAAAACAAATAATATTTTTTATGTAATGAACGATTCTATAAACTACTTCAAATTAACTCAAGCATTCCACTGCAGATATAAATACAATAATTAATATATACATACTACAAATCAGGTGCTCCACTCGCTGTCAATTTTCACACAAATACATTTTCAGTGAACTTAAATAATACTTTTTATAGTGTGATGTCACGCACATGCGTGTAATGTTTACAAATGCAAATAAATATGACATACGACAATAATTTAGTCGTATGTGCTTATGATAGAGAGATCAGATGTGAATTTTACGTGTCATTCGATCGAGATTCAAATATTGCCGCCACATCCCGAATGCAAACGGAAGGTGAACATTTGTCTCTGAAAACGATAAAGTATTATAAATTATAGAAGGAACAAAACATTATTTCTAATATTTACGACGCCTTTATATAAAGTCATTATAACAAAATAAACCTGCTCATTTACGAACGATGATCATCTGATAAAGCAATAATACAATTTAGTTTAAAATTATATTTTCCTATAGCTAAATCGATTTAGATTTAATAAGTTTGGTTATTCATATTATAATTGTAAAATCTTTTAAAATGAATAATAGTTTAACATACATATATCATACGTATATCTCTTAAGACGATTAATAACTGATCATACACATATGATACATAAATGTGAAACGTAACATTTCAAATGTCTAAATTCAAGGTGTTATAAAACTTTTCACGTTCCGGAAGAAATAAACTTGCTCGAGCAATAGGCGAGATTTTAAGCAGATTATTTAAACCATTTGATTATAACTTTTACTTACATCTTCATCTTCAAAGTAAAGTTATAAAAAAAGTCACAAAATTAACTTAAAGTCAGTATTTGAAGCAAACGTTTATATAAATATGTCTGGAGTAATAAAATAATCATATTCAATTCAAAAATCTAAATTTCTTAGTACTAAGCACGCATTAAATTTTGAAGGCTTGAATTAGAATATAATAAAATATTGTAATTCTAATTTGAAATATACACTTAGATTTAAAAATGTTGGAAGTTTAACAAATTTTCGTGAAAAATATGTATGTCTAAAAACTGTATGTATAAAATGTAAGAGTTGGTTCATGATTCTTCAAAAAATGATACTATCACTGGTTTCTCTTTTACCTTATTGAAAAGCAGAACATTAACCAATATAATTTACATTTAAATAATTTCTCACCTTTGTATTGTTCGATTGTCTCGAGTTTCATTTGTTTTGAGCCTTTCCCGTTCACTCAAACTCCTCCTATCAGAATTAAGAGAATGTTTCTGTCGACCTGGACTATCCAAACTTCTCCTATCCCAAGTACTGGTATCTTGATGAGTGCTATCATTAGTCATCCTCAGAATGACATCAGGCCCAGGAATAGACGTAACCATGCCGTGTTTCGGAACAAAGTTATCACTTAATACAACATGGCTATCAGAAGTCGAATCTTTGCTCGATAATCTATGAGAAATTTCGGAGCGATTTTTTATTTTTGTAAAGTTCTTTTTGCCACGATCTAGTGAATACGTATTATCACGACTATAACTATTTGTTACATTGCCTGAATTCCGATTCGTGTGTACAGGTGCTGTGTCAGACTTAGTTACATTTCCTAAACTGTCAGTAACATTACTGTCAGAAGATGATTTATCTATTTTGTTTTTATACTTTGACAAGCTATGATCTTTATTTTCTCCTCGAAAAGATTCTGAACGATATTTATCACGCAAAAATGTCCGGCGTTCTTGTTTATATTTCTCGATACGTTCCCTGGTAAGTTTATATCTAATATCTTCCAAACTGCTAACATTAGGATCTAAAGAATCTAAATTCGAACTCAAATCTGTGGATACTGTCGATAATTGTTCTAAAGATTTTTGATGCGTATTGTGCTGAATGAGTAAAATTTTATTCTCAGTACAAGGTGTTAATTTTTCAGGAGAGTTTCCACTAGTATTATCTTCATTTAAATTCTCATTCAAACTTACATTTAAATTAAATTTATCCTTTGCACTGCAATTTGCATTTTGTAAATTCGGTAATGTCTTAGGTTGATTCAAAAGTTTAGCTCGTGATGAATCAAACGATTTTCTGCGTGTAGGATTTGCTGCTACTGATTCTGAATTGTCTATAGGTATTTGGATATTGCTCGAATAACTAAATTCCCTCGAAAATGCTGATTCATCTAAAGACCCTGCTTTCTCTTTATTTAAAATGCTATTCCTTGTACGTGGAACTGGTTTTACAACATTCCTATTATCATTTATATTTGAATTTTTATTCAAACTGTTATTTTTGACACTGCCAGGATTAAATGAGAATACTGGGCTCTCTACAGGACTTAATTCAAACTTTGTAGCAAGTTGTTTCACAATAAAATTTGATGGTCTTAAATCACAATTTAGTTTCATTTCCCTATTTTCAACTTTAGATGGTGCAGTTTTGTGTTTGGTTTCTGTAAGTCTATCTAAACATTCCCCAAGAACAGGTGCTTCTATATCCATAGGTTCAATAATATCACTTGCTTTGCTTTTTGAAAGTATATCAGAATCCACATTATCTACTTCAGATTGTTTTGATAATACTATATCACATTCTAGGCTATCAGTTTCATCAAAATCGGCATCACTAGTATCCATTTTCACATTGCACAAATCTGTACTGCATTCATCATTCACACTCGTTACAATATTTGATATATTCGCACAAGTTGTACTATTACCAGGATTTAAAGAACTCTCAATGGAATCTATGCTTTTTAAAGAAACATCTGAATTGTGAGGGTTTTCATCTTCTATGCAAGAAGTTCCAGCACAAATAATATTCAGTTTGTATTTTGGATCTGATGCACCATTGTTTTCTGAAGAATATGTTATTGAAGAAACATCTTGATCTGAACTTTGGTTTATATCTTCTGTGCTTTTAAGTATATTTTCTTTTCCTAAAATATTATTCACTTCAGAAACTGCGTTTTTGTATATTTTGACGGTCTGATAAATAATCTGAAAAAGTATTACATTTAAAATGAATTACAAATTGTTATTAAAATTCAAATATATAGAGTTAACTATTAATACCACGACATTTTTATATCATGTCCTATATTAAAAAAGTAAAATACATGTCAAAACAGAATTGAATCTATATTTTTTTGCAGTGGTGAAAGCTTACCTGATCATTCATGACATCATCTAAATTTGTTTCCAGAAGTTGCTTGCCACTAGAACTACTCTCGGAAGATCTCATTTCTGCTTTACTGCTTAAGAGCTTGTTTCCAGTTTTATCTTCTACTTTCTTATCAGGTTGCCTGGCTTGCTGACTAGGCAAATCAGCTTTCGCAGTGGGTACGCCTGCATCATAACAAATAAGTCCTTGCTCCATTGAAACATTTTCATAACCTGAACCATTCTGGCAACTATCACGATTCTTGTATCTTTTAAAAGATTCATAAATTTCCTGTCTTTCTATTTCTGGAGAACTTACTTTCTCTCCTAAATTAGATTTTAATTTAATTGGTGATTTAAGGTTATATGTAATACTTATGGTTGATTTTATTGGGCTTTTGCATCCACTAGTTGTTGGAGATACATTTATAAAAGTAGGTTTAACATTTTCATAAATCACCCCAGTTTTTTTTAAAATTACATTCTCATAAACGCTTGTTGTATCCTTGATTTGTATGTTCTGAATGATTTTAGTATCATTGGTACTTGAATCGCTGGATATGGTACTTATTCTATTTAAATTTTCATATGCTATATCTCCAGGAGAATTAGATTGACTAGTAGTTTCTGAATATATAGATCTATCCATTATTTGTACTGGGGTTGTGTTGGTGCTCTCATCAAAGTTTAATGATTTAAAATTTTCACTAATTTGTGGCGTCACTGGACTTATTGGAGAAACTTTTAAATCCAATGTCATATTATTTCGATCACTATTTGTTGTAAAATTAGGTGATATTAATCTAGAACTTGAATTAGCTTTTGTTATATCACCCATTAAATTAACAGTGGTCTTAAACTCTTCACTATTTTCGCTGTCTGATTCCGCAATCAGAGGATGGTAATTTGGACTTAATTTTGAGGCACTTGAATTTTGTGAATTAATACTGTTCGTACTCAATGTATTTTTGTCACTCAGATTTGAAGAAGACATTTGAGGGTTTTCATTGTATACTCCAGCAATTGATTTGCACTTCAGCATGACTTTATTTTCATGCAAATCTGGAAAGTGTGCTGTTGTCTTTGGTTCAAAACAGCTGTATCTATAAATGTAAGTGTAAATTGATATTTTAGACCATAATATTTTTTGAATATAAATAAATTAACTGGTTATACATTTATATCATGCACACATTTGAACAATGGTTTTCACAGTTTACAAGAATAATTCGAAAAAAAAAAACAATTATATTATGAACAACTGATGTTAATATACATAAATAAATCATTAGAAGAAATTGACATGCCAGTAATTTTACTTTAATAACTTTGAAAATAATACAAATCTTGCTGTACATTCATTCACATGCAGAAATTACCTATCTGCTCTATTATTTCCTATCTTGGTATTATTGCTAATTGGTCGACTAAAATCACAAAGACTGACTCTTTCATTTTTCAGTTCTGTGTCCATTTTGTTCTTATCTAAATTAACTGTGTTATCATTGCAGATTTCGTCTGAAGGATTCCTGTGAACTTGTACAGTTGCATAAACTGTTGTAATAACATTTTGATTCTGATTATTAGCAGATGTGGAAATATGTTCAGGTGTGGCACAATCAATGAACTGAATATCTGAAAGCTGATCCTCCAACTTGTATCTTTTTCTGTAAATATATATTGTTAAGTTCATCTCAAAAGTAAGATGCAATTTCTAAACTAAGTTAATATTATAATTAAAAATATATATTTTATATGTATAGTTTTCTGAAACATTAATTTAAAAATTAAACTACAAACTTTTCTCATAAATTGAAAACTAACCTGAGACTACCATTTGGAGAACCAACGGTACGCGGTTGTTTTTTAGGGCTTGGAATTTTTGGGCTGTTCAGTGCACTGTTATTATCCTCAAGCCGAGATCTATTTTGTATCCGTCTTCCAGATTGCTGAAAACCAATTAATTTGATTTATTATAATAATTATATATCTGATAAACGTGTAACATTATATCTTAAATAAATTAAGTTAGTTAGTTAGCGATATAAATAAATTGAATATTCAGAATTCAGAGCAAAATCATAATGATGATGCATATATTAATGATATAATACTAATCCAAAATGTTTATTAATGATAAGTAAAACAAAATTTTATTTTTAGAATTCGCACTAAAAGAGCATATTATTTCATACCTCTTTTGATCCAACTTTAGGAGATGACACCAAACTTTCATCTTCTGAGAAGATTCTCATCTCAGGTTCTTCCAGGTCGAAATTAAGTCTCAATTCACTAAGCTCTCCAACCGCCATCCTGCCTACGCCCTCAGCCGTGAGTATATCAAAATATGAGTCATGCGACACCGAGCGGCTGTGACCCGAAGAGGAACCTGCTCCACAGCGAAGGTGAGATGAAAGAGCAGGACTGGTAGCACCGCACAACGCGCTGATGGCAGTAGGTGTGGCCTGAGAAGAATACTGCATTTGTTTACCGCGCAAACTGCCGTTTTGTTGGTCGGCGGCAAGACTTTCTGCAGAGCCGGCCAAGTGCATCGCCAGCATTTCCTGTCCAAAAAATATAACCATTTACAAACATATAGATACATTATAGTTTGATTAGTATGTTTGCCAACAACGCATCGATATATTCATTCGAAACATTCTTGTTAAATATTTGTAATGGTTTGTAATAACTTGAATGAATCTCTATTCAATGAAACAGATCTATGACAATTTTCTAGCTTTTATCGAATTTAACTAAAAACTTTTTAAATTATGTTATATATCCTCATAAAATTTAGTTCACAAAACTTCATGTTATTTGAGATACTATATCGTACCGTGGCAGTATCAGTGCCTATGAGACCACTATCCACTTCGTTATCACGTTTAACCGCGTCGCCACCTTGTCCATCTACTTTTGAGGAGCCAGTATTTCCTCTAGTAAAGAGTGCACGCCAACCAGTTGGAGATCGTTTCGAGGCGCGCTTATGCCATCCTCTAGGCAAAGGAAGTATCGTGTGGTATTTATCTGGTAAAGATGAAGGTCCTCCTCCAACTTCAATATATCCGCCATGGTGTCTATGAGCAGCGCTTTGATGATGGATCGGAATAGAAGATGACGTAGAACCTGCAGTTGCAGGAACGCCAACATTCCCAATTCCACTACCTCCTACTCCTCCACCAATTAGGTGCCGCGATCGCGCTTCTTCCAAACTATAATATTTTTTACACAACCATTTTATAATATATACCTATATATAATTAATTATAAAACACACAAAAGAGCCTACCATAATTAACTTTTATCACATTACCTTAGTAGTTTTGTAGGAGTGCTAATAGCCAAACTTTTTGGCCTGCTAGGTAATGGTGGCAGAGATGAAGCTGAAGAATTATTCGTCAAAGCGCAAGGTGTGTCAGAAAATAACAATTCAGAATTCATAATCAAGAATTCAGTAACCACAGCCTACATCACACAAGATAATCATAAATAAGATTAGTTTACTATAATTCAATATATGTGAAATATTAAGATGAGTTAATGCTATTTTTTTTAAATAATATTCAGCAAAACTAAACAATTATGAAGAATACCTGAACGCCAACACCTTGAAGAGCAGCAACACCACCGCCTTCTAATCTTGCGCATCTCAATAAATTTGGCGCCCAAACAATAGCAATGTTTCTAGCAGTCATTCCAGTTCGCGCCCCATGTTGAGAAACTCTACACAAGTGGCGGGTCAAGTAGCGAAGGGTTCTGAAATAAAAAAATTCTTGAAAAATGTGTTAACTATATAAGTTAATTGCATTTTTTCATAATATATGATACCTATAGTGAGGTGGTGGTAGCTTTTGCACCGCTTCTCTCATAAGCCTCAACCTAATATCTTCACTACCATCACTTTCTGGATTCAATTCCTGTCCTGGCGCTAACCGCGATTGAACTGCTTCAACAAAACTATGATAAAGCTGATAGGTGCACAATGGATTCGGAAGTTCTCTGCAATATTTTAAGCATTTAATATAATGGATTTTATTTATTTAAATCTATATATATTTGTAATATTTGCATGTGATAAAAAATTGAGATATGAGATAATATTAATATTATTTATATTTTATAAAAAAAATATAATAAATCAATTTAATAATAGTTTATTCTGATATTAATATTTGAGTTTATTATCAAAAGTATTTCTCCATTAATATTAAGAACACTTTACTATGAACATACCGGAAATACATTTTCAGTAAAGAAGAAACACTATGAATATCCTGCAATATATCAGGATGTGTGAGATCAGGTTCCCTCTCTTCATCAAATGCTCTGCGCAATTTTTGTATATTTGATGTTATTCCTGATAAACGGTACACACCATCTACTAAACCATATTTCTCAATAAATTCTGCACAGCACTTTAATACCATAGGAACTAAAACAAAATGAAATTATTAAAGCAAATATAAAGTAAAATCAGTAACAAATAAATTTTAAATGAATAAATAGTTATATGTGGCATTACGCGTTACTTACTATCATGCCCAGAATTAAGTAAGTGTTCCCCTAGATCACAAGAAAATACTCTTTCCCTTAATATTCCTGATTGTTTTAATCTTCTTCTTGAAGGTCGAGAAAGAATAAAACTTCTGAAAAAAGCTATCAATTTTCCATGTTTTCTTAATACCGGTTTACTAGGAGATAAGTCTAAAGAACTGCGTAAAAAGAAATGAGCATGCATTAGCATATGATCAAATTGTTCAAAAAATCAAATTTTTAAGACTTACCCCACTAAAGGAGCAGGCATAGGCAAATTTCTGGGCACTTTGTCACCTATAGGTATTAGTAATGTGAATTAGTAACATAAAATAAATCCTATAATAAGAAATATATATTGATTAAATTACCTATTGTTGCTACACATGTTTGCGGGAAAAAACCGACATCAAATCCACGTTTTCCGCGCCACCAGGCGCTCTCCGCGGGAGAAGGCATGTCTATAACCGAAATCATATCGCCCACTTCAAAACTTAACTCATCTCGAGCCTGTAAAATAGCGCATATGTTTAATTTGAAAATCTGTGGTAACCATATATATGGTAATTATAGATATTCTTTACCTGTGCTACATATCTGCGGACACCATAAGCAGCCCCAACCGCTGGTGTATTTATGCCACGCCCGAGTGAGTCCAAACTTCCATCCGCAACTAATAATCGACGTCCACGATTATCTAACCTCATCCACGTAAGAGCTGGTGCACAAGTTATTCGATCGTCCGCCAGGGTCGAAAAAACACTTAAATAAGCGTCAACTGCCTCCTGAAAAATATTTCAATGACATTACAAAAACATTTTATTGTCGAATTCCTGCTTGTATTAACTTCAAAAAGCACATATGAATTACCTTAATTTCTTTTAAACTTATTTCGCCACTTTCGTGTGATTTTTTCAGCTCGGTTATATCTTGAAGTCCTGATACTCGGCGATCGTATACACAACGATGCAATAATTCATCAAGCAAAGCCAAATTTTCCAAACTCCTGATAAAAAATTCATTAAATTTGATATATAATATGGCACTAAAAACATTTCATAAACCAACAAAATTAATCAATGTTAAGACTATTTACCGGCGCAGTGCAAATGACCCTCCAACCCCCACTTGTTGTTGAATAGATACAGATGCTGTCGTGGAATTTAAACCATTGAAACCTGCTGATGAACTAAAGCTCTGATTATTTATTTGACTGGAGCAATGGCCTGATTCGACAGATATGGTAAACCACGGTCCACCTTGCACGCTTTCCGTGTCATCTGTAGTACCTGGATTAAATATGATGTGTCGTCTAATTAAATTAGAGTGAGTAATTTCTGAAGAAGATTATGCAATATTCGGCATGTTGAAGAGTTTTCATGAACAAGACCAGTTAGCATAAAATAAAAAAGAAATAATACTAATAATTAGAAATTAATTAAAAATTATGTTACACAGAATTGAAATAAAATGCTTTACCGTGCTCCGTGTCCTCGTCATGCATAAGTCTCAATGTAACACCCCCTAATTCAACTCTCTCATAATGAAAATGTGCACATTCTTCAAGTTTGGGAAATCGGCAACTGCCATCAGCTATGGATAAACCAGATGTTGAGCAAGTATCGTGTTCCCCAGCCGCCTGCAGTGCTGTGTAGTCCAGAGAATGAGGTTGCTGGTTGACTGTGTCTTGGTTGCCAAACAGATCTCGCCCAACTGTAGCGCCGAGACTACCGCAAAGTCTGCAATATTATTATTATCATCGATTAATAATGAAAAGAGCAATTATAATTTCCTGTAAGAGTCAGAAAGCGCAAAAAATAATTACATCAGAGAAAAGTTTTGGCAAGCGAATCATTTACCTGGATGTCGAATGTATATTAGCCGACCAAACTCTCGCTCCCCCAGTCGATCCACGCCTCTTGCGCTCACATCCGATGGCCCCAGCAGCTTCGCTTTCAGAACAACTGCGTTGATGAGCTACTTGCTGCGTTAGTTCACCAGGAACTGGAACTGTCGCACCTGACGACACCTCACAAGCAGGCGATGGAGCAGACGCACTCATAGACGGGGCACAGGCTGCAAGCGGCAAGGGCTGTTGTTGTAGCGACGTCATAGCTGCCGCCACAACTACGTCGCCGCCGCTCACGCACCGCGGTAGATCCGGATTGCTCAGCCCCTATTTGAATTTATATCAAAAACTCATTTTAAATATATGAAAATAAAAAAAAAACAACAGTGATAGAAACCTACCCTAGAATGTGCAAAATGCCTGTTGATTTAAATTATTAAAATATATTACGTCTAAAATGAATGTGTTTGTATGCCGAGTATTTCGATGGAAGAAATTCACCACATTTGAAAATTGAAAGCTCAAAATGAAAATTGGTTTAGACGATAAAATAAATTTTAATAATCAAGTATTTATTGAAGTTCTCATTGTGATTAAAATTAGAAACAGAATTGTGCGAGATAATGTGTTATTCTTGTTCCTTGGTTACCCAGGTTTCTTCGCCAGGATGTTTGGAAATATTACTAGTAGTTCCAGTCCGAATTATTTCTTCTGGTATTTTATACGTGCTTTCATTTTAGATGTAAATTCCTTTCTAAAGGTAATGCATTACATTTAATTTTCTGCTCATGTACAAACCTACATATACGACAGAACGTCTAAAATGAATATGTTTGTATGCCGAGTATTTCGATGGAACAAATTCATCACATTTGAAAATTAAAAGCTCAAAATGAAAATTGGTTTACACGATAAAATAAATTTTAATAATCTCATTGTGATTAAAATTAGAAACAGAAATGAGCTAGATAATGTGTTATTCTTGTGTAGGTTACCCAGGTTTCTCCACCAGCTTGTTTGGAAGTATTACTAGTAGTTCCAGGTCGAATTATTTCTTCTGGTATTTTATACGTGCTTTCATTTTAGATGTAAATTATTTTTAAAGGTATTTCATTACTTTTAATTTTCTGTTCATGTGCAAACCTACATATATGGCAGAACTGCCACGCGACATTTGTACGCCACATAATTAAATCATATACAATCATAAAAAGAATGATATTTAATTTTGGAAATTTGAGATAAGATACTTCTTTATCTCTTATTTGAAAAGTTATTTATTTATTACATCTCGATCATGGATAAATTTGTTATACGTACAAAATACTAAATTTTATTTTAAATCATGTTTAACAATGAGCAATATTTGTACTATCCAAGACATGTTACACAATTTAAATTGTTGATTGCTCTATAATAAACATTAATGTGCACGAACAGTTAATACAATGACCTGACATTCCGTTGAGTTTAAACACCGAACAACAGTGATGAACGGGATCAAAAGTTTTGTATCGCGCTGCTATGAAATAGTATTTTTAAAGGATCTAGTAAAGCTTACTAGGAGATGTTATATATGTACTATTATTTGACATCATATGACAAACGAAAACCGATTAAAATTATCATTAGTTTGTTATTTTCAATTATTGCATTATATGTTTTTTAACATTACAAATTTCTAAATAAATCATATGCCCAATTTATAACTTGATGTTGATTTTCAATCTAGTACCTAAGTAAGATCTTAAACTTATCTGATTTTTAAGATTATTAAACCTCTTGGTTTAATTTAAGATTGAAAAAATATTTATATAATATTTTAAAATTACATAAATATTTTAAGAAGTATTGATGAAAAAGAGAAACTAATGTAATGACTATTCATAAATACGCAATCTATTAACACAGCAAAAGTTTCTATATGCTTACGAATTCTTCATAAATGTGCTAATTTTCAACAGGCGAATCCACGTCACACTTTCATTTTTATGTGAATTATTTAACGAACAAATTTAGAAATCGATTATCGGATCCTTCCTATAATATTCAATCAATCCATCTCCTCAACACCACATAGGCACCATAACAACAATCACTATACATAAAATATTACATTTTCATTTGATACAATTAAGTAAATACCTCATTTTTTATGTCATATTCCTCAATCGTTATATATGTTTTCATTATCAAAAGTGTCGTTCTTGTATATGAAGACCCATTAAATTAATTGAGAGCACAATTTAAACTTGAAAGCGTTTGAATGTTAAATCAATTTGAATTAATTTATATGTGTTTGCATTTTGCATTGCATGCGACAACTGATCTAATTGTAAGAGAAGACCGACGTCGATACAAATTCATGTGAAAATTTATGAGATGTAAAGACAGCAGAGTAAAAATTGAATTTCGGCTTGAAAACTAATACAAAGAAAAAGATTTTGTATTTGCTAAATGTGGCATAGAAGTATTGAATCCGAGTTTACGAAAACGTAACTTATTTGTTTAGTAATTAGACGTCCGCAGTACAGAGAGGAATTTGTGATTATCTTGGAGAATATTTTCAGCGAACATGTTCTATATATAACGTATATCAATTTATATATTTAACTGTAGAATCTAGTTTTATTCTTCAAAAAATTATTCACCGTAAAATTTATAGCCAAAAACAAAATTATAGAATTAAAACATTTGAACATACCTAATGACAAACAAAGACTAAAAAATTTTTCATAGTCATTGGATTGAAATGAAGGGTTGTTTATATGATAAAGCAGTAACCAACGGATTCCCCATAATTATCATGAGACTAGTTTTGCCTTTATTAACCAACCTAATCATATTTTGCAAAAAAAAGCTTTTCTGATACGCTTTTGTCATAATATAATGAAACGATCTCTATAAAATTTTTATAAAATTGAAATACACAATATGCAAAATCGACTATGAATTAATCGTCTCAGTATTTATTCGAGTAAGGTTATCAGTGTTTATAATTACCTGCGAAAAGTATACTAAATTCTTTTCTTATGACTAATTGCTAACTTCTGCACAATATCAAATGAGTATATAATACAATATAGAATAATATAAAACGAGTCAAACGTCATAATAAGTCATGAAGTGTCACCTGAAGGGTTTCAAAGTACGAATTATTTTGCAGTTTAATAGTTCATTCTTTTGCGAAAATATGGCAATTATTTTAGATTTGATTGCATTTTAATACAACGTTATAGTCCTTGTGAACGTAATTAGATCCTACCTCGATCTAAAATAATTCGTACATTATGTTGCCTCCGGTTTTATGTAGCATTAATTGTGAACATCTGTACATCCCGTGAAATACATTACAAAGGGCCTTGAATCTTGCCCCAATGAATGGACAAATGAACGAATGAATGAATGAATCATAGCATATTTCTTCTGCGAACAAGAAATGTGCTGGTTGTCATCATTTGTGTAACAAGGAGAATTCTCAATGCGTGCTTGGGAATACTAATCGACACTTTAGATTAAAACCACGTCACATCACGATATTTGTGTTACTGTGCTGAAATTACTACATGACAAACACTTAAGTCGAACAAAAGAATTCTGAGAGAAAAATAAATTAAAACCCCCTTGAAAATATCTGGCAAAACTGCTACTACTGCACACATTCAACAGTAATACATTATTATATGTATTATCATAAAGATTTAAAATGTTAATCACAGCCACTTATCAGGACTTAACTGTAGAACTAAATTTATTTCGAGTACCAATGAGTGATTAATTTGACAAACAGTTAGGTAAATTATTGTAGATCTTTGAAGCTCAATTACCAATGGAATTTTTATAATCATTAAGAATTAAGATTACTAATTCTTGATAGCAATGAAATTACCTGGGGCTAAATATCAAATCGAATATTTTAACTCAAACCTAATTAAATACAAAATTTTCAAAATACATGTTATTAAAATTAATTAAAAAATTAGTTTCAGTAACAACAATCAGTAAACACAGAATCAAGGTCAATTAAAAAAAAATGAAAATGAAAAATTATGTAAATCTTTTAGTAGTTGACGCTGAATTATTTTAAAAATAAAAAATTAGTTTACAAATCGAGAAAATACGGACCCCAATGACTTACCAAAATATGGGCTCAGGCTTGTTTTACATTAGGTTTGATTTAGATAATTTCAAAGTGAAGTCAATAAATTGAATTTTATTTTGATTTTTCGCCTCAAGTTAGTATTAACTTAAAAAATAATAGAAAATGAATGTGAATTTGTAGCAATAATAATATCTAGTAATAAAATACAAATCTTATATATTGATGTTACAATATTGATTTTATATGAATTTTCATAATAAATACCTTAATACTAATAAATAGGATAAGGTAATATATTTTACATCATGTAACTATATTATAAAAACCAATAACATACAATAAATAAAAATATGATTTTCAAGTAAAGCCAGATAAATGTAAATATATAATTTTATCATTATTCATTGTATTAGTGAAAAATTCGAAATTATAGGTTATAAATTTGTTTCACAATTGTTAGACAATAATAGTTGATAACCAAGCATTTTTTTAAATTATATGAAGTTCTAAAATTTCATAAACTTCAGGCTTCGAATTTTTGCATAATATCAAGGACCAAAATTAAATGAACTTCAAAAAGATCATGCAATACTATAATATTTAGTATGCACAAACTACAAAAATCAAACTTACGCCATTGCTGCAATTTGCACAGAAGCTAAGCACTCGTCTCATGGCACTATATCGTCATTTTTAATTTTATTAATTATTAACATATTTTTATCAGTTCATATTATTTTACATAGTGTTAGAAATTTATAATTCACTTCATTCACACAGCGCATTATTATAATATCTGAATGTGAAGAAAAAACAAATATAATTATAATGCTAATATAAAATATCAAAATTATCAATCGATATTCGTCTCATCTTCAAATAATAAAGCTGTTATACAATTCTTAACAATAACAATAACTCGGGCAATAAGCGTGTGAAAATTTCATCTTGATGCAATGTTTAAATAAAGTTTTGCAATGCCAATCAAATCAGCGAAATGAAACAATTCATTCAATTCATTTTTTTCTTCGATTTATGTTGCAACTGTTTTTTAAACATCTATGTATCTAAAATACATAAAATGAAGTAAAATACATAAGATTTTTAAGTTATATGACTTGTGTTTGCTATTTTACTCCAGAACCTAGTACATATATTTCTCGAGAGGGCAACCCAGCGGGCAACCACTCTTTGTTATGTGGTTGCATATTATTGGAAAATTGAA